AACTTAATTCTTTTGCATACAACATCACATATGTAACCTTAGAAGACAATTCCTTTATCCTTGCATAACCAACTTAATTTTACATTATCTAGGTGACAACTATATCCCAAGTTAAGCATTGATCATACATTAGATTCAATTTCATGCCCTAGGTCACACACTTGTGGAGAAATTGCACTCAAATTCAAGAGAGGAGACATGGTGGGTGAGTAAACTTACTTGTGATCTTAAACTCCCCAAATTCTCTCTAAATTATCCACTTGATCTTGAAGAAGCCCCCTTCTAGTTCCTTTCTCCCTAATCTCACCACTTACTCTTTCAGGAAATGTTTTGAGCTAGGAGTTCTTAAGGCAAGAGTTAAAGAACACACACACACACACACATATATATATATATATATCTATAAAGCATGAATAGGACAAAAGATCAATCGTTTAATCATTCCAAATTGAAATTTCACAGAAATGCTTATTATTTCTTAAAAATTATGCTGATTCCAATTATAGAATCAATTTCGGATTATCAAGTCTCTAAGGCCCTCAATTTCTGATTCAAACACTAGAATTGTAACAGATAGTTCTCATATTAAACAGATACACAACTATAAGCATAAGATCCACTTTTTTTTTTTAAACTTACTTTCACATGAAATTTCCCAATAAACATATGAATGCACAGAATAGGGGGCTAAAAGCATACCAGAAAACATGTACGAGTCTCGGGCTATTACAGAGGTTATATTGAATCTTCCCATCTCGGCTCACCGGTCAGAGACGCGTCTTCCCTCCCTTATCCACAGTTCAGCCCGACCTATCCGTAGCTCGGTCTCGCCTGTTAGCTGTGCGCACCACCGAATATTTGCTAGTCGCAGCTCGGCCAGGCTAGGCTTCCGCCCGGTCAGCCGATCCTTGAGACCGAGCAAAACAGACCCATCCAATCCTTGCTCGGCCGTACTAACGGCGCAAATCTCCTCTCTCAATTGCCCCTTAACCCCATCCGACCTGGTCGTGACTGGGGTTACCGAGCTAACGGGTTGAGTTGCTCCATCAACAAGCCGAGCATGATTGGGGGCAAATCTGTCGCCGAGCTATCCTGCTTGGTCGGCCATTTCCTCCCCAGTCTCATCAAGGGTCGTACAACCGTACTGACAGCCGCATTTTCAGTGCCACATGGCTTCACGCCACTGGGTCGTACGGCCAACTGCTCTGCACGCGCAAAATTCAAACGGCGCAGCCGTTTGGGTCCTTCCCCCCTCTTTTGTATTCCAACGAAGGGCCTAAACCCTTCACTTTTCCTTCTCCTCCACACAAGCCCTAAACCTTAGCCTTTTATATTCTCTGAGAACTTCCCCTGCTTGTCGCTGCGTCTCGCCTGCCTCCGCTTCCATCCTTAGTTTCTCGTGAAGCCACAGCCAAGCTCGAGAGGCCCTGCCCTTGCAACCTGTATTTGGTAAGTCCTCCCATCCTTTCAAGCTCTCGTACTTGAGTTCTTCTACTTTTTCACCTTTTTATGCTTCGTGTTCTCCATGTTTATTTTTGTTTATTTTCGGGGCCATTTGAGTTTCATTTCCTTGCTTAGATCTCGCACACCCTAGGGCAAACAAGAATAGTAGGGAAGGATGGGACTTTCATGCCCCTTGTTCCTCCTAGGTTCGAACGAGTTCTTCCTATTTCTGGGATGAACAGTTTGAATCTGGGTAGAACCGAGCAAAATGCTCGTTTAGATCCATAAATGACACACCGGCCGAGCAAAAACTGGTTTGTGACTTCTCGTAGAAGTTGTAGCCGAGCCAAACTACCGATTAAAACTTGGTAATAGTACTGAACCGGGCGAAAACTTGAGCTCGTTAAGTAAGCCTTGACCGGGTTAACTCGTCAAGTAGAAACGACCAAGCTATAACTTTAACTGAGCCAGCTTCGGAGAATTAGAACCGAACTAGGAAATCGACCACGTAGAATACCCGAGGTAGGGGTCGAACCGACCAAACACCAATAATCCCTTCACTGAGCCAATTCCTATAGGGGCCGTGCAATTTATGCCGCGCTAACCCTTGGAATTATTTTTTAACAATGCAGAACAAATAGGACCGACCAAGCCAGTCCAGCACTAACTGGTGGAGCTCAGAGTCCGATCAAACCCACAAAAATTTTTGACCGAGATACACTTTATCAAATAAGACCGAGATAGATGGGGAAGTACCGCTATATGGTAAGCTCGCCCGGTGCGATGGCCGAATTTCGCAGGGATTACAACATCCTAGATGACGTCATCCTAGAGCTCGCCAAAAAGGGAGACACCCTTAGGGGAGATCTAGACCGGTGTCCCTTCACGGTCGTGTCAATAGTAGAGGGAGGGCTCCGTTTCCCGGTCCAGCCTTTGATCTGTGAGTTTTTGAGGCAGACAAGGCTTTGCCCGACCCAAGTTTCAAATAACACATACAAAATAATAAACGGCGTGGCCGAGCTGAACCGGAGGCTCGGTTTAAATCTCGATCTTGCAGAAATTTTCCACCAATATAGCCTTAGTAGAAATAAGAGTGGGCTTTGCTGGTACCTCAAAGTCAAGAAGGGCCGAGCAAAACTCATTGAAGGCAACCCAGACAAAGAAACTAACGACGACGATTTCCTCTGGGTGTCCGGTGCTTACGAGGACACCGAGCCGCCCATACCGGGCTGGTACATTAGGAAAAATTTTGGCAGTGCTGGTAAGTAGCCCGGCTGACCACACTATCCTCTTTCTGAATTTCATTATTATAATTTTGCACCGGTCTAACACTTGTCTCCTTTCTGCAGATAAGTACCTAGCAGTGGACTACCACCAGGCCAACCAAGAGGCCATCAGAGTCCTGCATCGCCATCCAGCCGAGGAGAGGGAGGCATCAAAACTTCTTAGTTTCGACCAAACCTACCATTACCAAGCGCCGCGCAAGAGCAGAGTCACTGACTTCCTACGTGCGCCATCCCCTGAACCAGATCCCAACTTGCCACCAATCAGACTCGTCCCCCTTATAGCCGAGCAAGAAATGGCCAAGATAAGGGCGATCAAATCGATGATTACTGGAGAGGAAGGGGAGTCCCAACCTCCAGAGGCGACCGGGGGAACATCCTCAACCCCAGCCGGGCAAACAGAAGGAGCTATGCTTGCTCTTGCCAGCGAACAACCGACTGGCCGATCAAAGAAAAGGACGAGGAAGGAGATGACCGGGCAAAACCTCGTTGATGAAGATTCAACTGAGGTCGCTTCAACCGAACAGGGGGACCGGACCGAGCAACCGCTGGCTGGCAAATCCAAGGGCAAGGGCCCAGCCACCTCCCCGGTCTGGGCGCCCGAGTTCAAATACCAGGGCCGGGCAGTTTCCTTTGAGGACTCCGTCTACGCGAACAAAGATTACTCGCTTGGTTTCAATTTGACCAAGGGGTTAATCTTGCCCGCCGATATGAAAAAACATGACGAGCTGTCCGACCTCAAGGTCCTCCGTTCGGCAGCGAAATCCATAGTGCTGGTAAGTTCTCCATTTTCTTATGTCAAACTGTTTGCTCGGTTATTGCGCGGTTTTTCAAGTACTAACGATTTCTCATCGATTTTCAGGCCGTGCAAAAGAACTACTTGGCCCACGACCGGATGATCAAAGTGCAGCAGAGCCTGCGCGAAGCCATCTCGGAGAACGAGGCCCAGAAAGGCGAGATAGCAAAACTCAAGGCCGCGCAAGAAGCAGTCATGGCAGAGCGAGATACCCTGCTCCAAAAAGTCGACCGAGCTAGCGAGGAAAAACAACGAGCCATGAAGTCGATGAAAGCTCGGTATCTCACCGAGCTGCGGAAGCTGCGCGACGCCCATAAGGAAGAAAGCGATAAAGCGGTCGATGAGGCAGAGGACCGTGGATATAAGAAGGGGGAGAGAACCTACGAGCGCCAAGTCCAAGCGACCAAGGACATCTTTTTCCAGTGCGGCTGGAAGGCTGCCGTGGAAAAAGTTGGCCTTGGTCAGGATGTCGAAATGTTTGTGAACCCCCATGCAGCACATATCCCGGTCTATATGCAGGCCTACGCCAATGCTACCCAAAACCGGCTCATTGCGGAGGCAAGGAAGGAGGCCGAGGAAGAAGCCGCCGCCGCGCAACAGGCCGAGCAAACTACTGCCGAAGCATCTCAAGATGACGGAGTGGCTGATCGGGATGTTGCTGTGGGGGATAGTGCTAACGACGACGCCGAGGAAAACTTGCCCGAGCAGACAATTGATATGGCCGAGCAGACGGTGGAGGCAGCCGGACAGACTGTCCCTCTTGAAATGGATTGATAATTCCTTTTTTTTTTTTTTTTGCATATAACCGGGCTAGGCCCCACCTTTGTACTGAATCTTCTTCAATCAATGAAACTTTTGAACCTTTTGTTCGTATATCATCTATTTCTTTTCGGTTGGCTTGTACATAAATGTCTCGATTTAAACGTTGATAATTCATAACTGGCAGGTCGGCTGAGCCGCGCAATATGCCGAGCTAAAATCACCCAGAACGTCTTTCAACATATCTGGCAGCTCAGCTCCTTGAAAATTTGAATTAACTGACATTGTAACTGGGCCGAGCAAAGTCCGCTCGGTTTGAAATGTTTGCAGAATCATACATTTCCATTACATCAATGAGACCGAGCAAAAATCAGCTCGCCGTGTGAGTTGGTTAAGCCGCCAACATTTCCTTTCGGCCGAGCCAAGGCAGCTCGGCCTCTTATCGGTTGGACAACACGCCAGCACCGAGAAATTCTGCCGAACAAAATCCGCTCGTTTAACATATTGGACAAGACACCAATATGCCGACCGGGCCGAGCAAAATCAGCTCGGCCCTTACATTGGGCAAAACACCAATGTTTCAGCTAGGTTGGTCATGACGCCAATATTTCGACCGGGCAAGGGAAACCAGCTCGGCCCGAGGCTAATGCGAACTTTTTCCCTACGCAAACTTTTTGTGCAGTCTGTCTCCATTCCAGCGAGATGAAATCTGATCGGCCTCATTCAGGGCGGTCTCCTTGCCCCTGGCATCGATGATTGCCTTGTATCCTTGCGATTTCATTGTACAGAGATGTAATACCAAACAAGAGTGCTATTTTTATTACAAAAGCATTGCTATCTTTTACATCTAGTGCCAAGAGGCTAAGGGTCTGGAAAAGCTTAAACAACATAAGCAAATTACAATTCAAAAGTAAAAAACCTTAAGGTTGGCTGCATTCCATGGTCTGGGGACAGCCTTGCCATCCAAATCTTCTAGATGGTATGCCCCTTTGCCAGCTAGACCAATCACCTTGTATGGTCCTTCCCAATTCGCACCAAGCTTTCCTTCGCCTTGGACCACCGTGTTGCCTAGTACCTTTCTCAAAACCCAGTCTCCAACCTTGAATAGCCTGGGGTGCACCGCCTTGTTGTATTTCTTGGAGAGTTCTTGTTGATAAGCTGCGATGTGGACTAGTGCCCGCTCCCTTCTTTCCTTGGCAAGGTCTAATTCCGATGCCACGGCTTCATTATTCAGATCAGGCTGGAAACTTTCAGAGCGGATGGTTGGCATGCCGATTTCCAACGGGATGACTGCCTCCATGCCGTAGGCCAAAGTGAATGGTGTTTTCCCGGTCGACCTTCTTGGGGTAGTGCGGTATGCCCAGAGCACGTTGGGAAGCTCCTCAGCCCATTTCCCCTTGGCTTTTTCAAGCCGCTTCTTTAGCCCATCCAAGATAGTCTTGTTGGAGGCCTCTGCTTGACCGTTAGACTGAGGATAGGCCGGTGTCGAATTGTAGAACTTGATCTTCAACTCTTCGCAAAATCCGCGAAAGAGCTTCCCATCAAATTGAGTGCCGTTATCTGAGACGAGGGCCCTGGGTATACCGAAGCGAGTAATGATGTTTTGCCAAACAAACTTCTTCACATCCTTTTCCTTTATGGTCGCCAGTGGCTCGGCCTCCACCCACTTGGTGAAGTAGTCGGTGGCGGCGATGAAGAACTTGCGATTGCCCGGCGCTGCTGGGAGTGGTCCAACAATATCCAATCCCCAAAGCGCGAACTGCCAAGGACTTGTGAGAGGGAGCAAATCTCTAGCCAGCTGATGGATCTGGTGAGCGAACTTCTGACACTTCTCACACCTGCGAACATATTTCTGTGCGTCCGCCTGCATGCACGGCCACCAGTAACCTTGGGAAATTGCTCGGTATGCCAAGGACCTGCCCCCAATATGGCTTCCGCAAATGCCCTCATGTATGTCGTAGAGAAAAGTCTTCACTTTGGCGGGGTGGATACACTTCAAATACGGCCCGGTGAAGGACTTCTTATACAAGGCTCCAGATGGGGAAAGCCAAAACCGCTCTGACTTTGCTCGGATTTTGTGGGCTGCCTTCTTTTCTTCCGGTAGAACTCTGTCTTTTAAGAAGGCGATGATGGGATCCATCCAGGAAGGACCCAAGTCGGTACAGAGCACCTCGGTTGCTTCCGGTTCCTCAATACTTGGCCGAGGTAAAAACTCTATCATAAAGGGGTTAGGAAAAGCTGTCTGAGTGGAGGCGAGCCCAGCCAATTCGTCAGCCGAGTTGTTTTCTTCGCGGTTGATTTGTTCCACTCTTATCGCAGGGAACTTCTTGATTTCTTCCCGCACCAACACTTGATACTTGGACATTCTTCCATCCCTTGCCTCATACTCCCCTGATACCTGATTGACCACCAGCTTGGAGTCGCTGAAGACCATAAGGGCGGTGGCTTTCATTCTCAATGCGCTTCTCAAACCGGCGAGGAGGGCTTCATACTCTGCCTCGTTGTTGGACGCTGGGAATCCGAGCGTAATTGCTTGCTCAATAATCAGCCCATCTGGTGAGGTCAGCACAATTCCCAGCCCGGCCCCATGCCTGTTGGACGCTCCATCGACGAAGAGCTTCCACATCTCGCCAATGAACAGCTTCTAACAATCAGACGGGTTTTGGGAGCTTCTCAATTCAATGTCTCTGGCCGGCTCATTTTGGTCTTTTTTCTCGTCTCCATTGGGTTCATCTTCCAACGAGCTGTCGGACTTTGCTAGTTCGGTTAAACTTTGCCCTTTTCCCACGTGCGAGCCAACGTTCGTTTCTGTGGCTAGAACCATGGGTTGTGCTAAATCCGCACCAACCAAATTAACCGGGCAAATTGGATGCATCCCAAGGGCAAATTCCGCCACGAAGTCGGCTAGTGCTTGAGCCTTGATTGCGGTGCGCGGTCGGAACTTGATGTCATATTGACCTAACTCCACGGCCCATTTCAAAATTCTCCCAGTGAAGTCTGCAGAGCACCTCGGTTGCTTCCGGTTCCTCAATGCTTGGCCGGGGTAAAAACTCTGTCTGAGTGGAAGCGAGCCCAGCCAATTCGTCAGCCGAGTTGTTTTCTTCGCGGTTGATCTGTTCCACTCTTATCGCAGGGAACTTCTTGATTTCTTCTCGCACCAACGCTTGATACTTGGCCATTCTTTCATCCCTTGCCTCATACTCCCCTGATACCTGATTGACCACCAGCTTGGAGTCGCTGAAGACCATAAGGGCGGTGGCTTTCATTCTCAATGCGCTTCTCAAACCGGCGAGGAGGGCTTCATACTCTGCCTCGTTGTTGGACGCCGGGAATCCGAGCGTAATTGCTTGCTCAATAATCAGCCCATCTGGTGAGGTCAGCACAATTCCCAGCCCGGCCCCATGCCTGTTGGACGCTCCATCGACGAAGAGCTTCCACATCTCGCCAATGAACAGCTTCCAACAATCAGATGGGTTTTGGGAGCTTCTCAATTCAATGTCTCTAGCTGGCTCGTTCTGGTCTTTTTTCTCGTCTCCATAGGGTTCATCTTCCAATGAGTTGTCGGACTTTGCTAGTTCGGTCAAACTTTGCCCTTTTCCCATGTGTGAGCCAACGCTCGTCTCCGTTGCCAAAACCTTGGGTTGTGCTAAATCCGCACCAACCAAATCAATCGGGCAAACTGGATGCGTCCCAGGGGCAAATTCCGCCACAAAATCTGCAAGAGCCTGAGCTTTGACCGCGGTGCGCGGGCTGAACCTGATGTCATACTGCCCCAATTCCACGGCCCACTTCAGAATCCTCCCGGTGAAGTCGGCCTTCTCAAAGAGCACCTTGAGAGGGAATTTGGTCAGTACAACTATTGTATGGGCATGAAAATAGTGTGCCAGCTTTCTCGACGCAATCATTAGGGCCAGCGCCAATTTCTCCAAGGGAAGATATCTTGTTTCGGCCAGGAGCAGGGTCTTGCTTACATAGAAGATTGGCAGGTGCTGGATGCCTTCAGCACGAATCAATACCGCGCTCACTGCATGTTGAAAAACAGCCAAGTAGAGGTACAGCTCTTCGCCCGGCCGAGGCGTGACCAAAATTGGGGCTGAGGAGAGATACGCTTTTAAGTCCGCCAGTGCACGGCCGCACTCTTCATCCCAGAAGAACTTGGACTTCAGAGTTTTGAAGAAGGGCCTGTAACGATCCGAAGACCGGCTGATGAATCTGTTCAGCGCAGCTGCCATCCCGGCAAGATGTTACACGTCCTTTGTAGAATTCGGGCGCTCCAGCTCTTGTATCGCTTTGATCTGGGATGGGTCGGCTTCAATCCCTCGGTTTTTAACCAGAAAACCCAGAAACTTTCCAGTGCCAACTCCGAAGGCGCATTTGGAGGCGTTCAGACGAAGCTTATGGTGCTTAAGTATGGCGAACATTTCTGCTAGGTCGGTGAGGTGTTCTGACTTCTCCTTACTCTTAACCACCATATCATCGATGTAGGCCTCCATTGTTCGGCCCAAGAGAGGAGCGAACATTTTAGTAACCATCCGCTAAAAGGTTGCTCCGGCGTTCTTTAGTCCGAACGGCATGGCTTTGTAACAATATAATCCTCTGGGGGTGGTGAATGATGTAATCTCTCTGTCCGGTTTATACATGGCTATCTGGTGGTAGCCGCGATAAGCGTCCAGGAAGCTAAACCTCTGATGGCCAGCGGTCAAGTCCACCAGCTGGTCAATTCGAGGAAGGGGAAAGCTGTCCTTAGGACAAGCCCGGTTAACAGTCTTGTAGTCAACGCAGACTCGCCACTTGCCATTTTTCTTGGGAACAACCACCGTGTTGGATATCCACCGAGGGTATTGCACTTTTTCTATAGCCCCGGCTTCCAACAAGTTCTTCACTTCTTCAGCCACCACTTCAGCATGGTGCAGAGCTGAACGGCGCTTCCTTTGAATGACTGGTCGTGCGTTGGGGAAAACATTCAACTGGTGACAGATGAAGCTCGGGTCGACGCCAGGTATGTCGTAAGGCGTCCAAGCAAAGGCCTCCAAATTGGAAACCAAGAAGTTGACATAATTCGATTGCTCGCTGGACAAAGATGACCCCAAGAGGAAGAATTTAGTTGGATCGTTTTCGTCAAAGCGCACTTCCACCAAATCTTTGACTGATTTTTCCTCGGCCTTCCTTCCCACGTCTTCAAGGACCCCTTTTTCCTCGGGCCCCTCGATCATTTGGACAAATCCTTTAGCTGCTCGGCTGCCATTTACCGCAACGAAGCATTGTTTTGCCATCACCTGGTCTCCCCAAACTTCTTCCATTTGCCCGCTCGACGCCGGAAAGCGCATGACTTGGTGGAAGGTCGAGGCAACCGCTTGCATGGCGTGCAGCCAGCCCCTACCTAAGATCAAGTTGTAAGTGGAAGGAACTTTGAGCACCTAGAACTCCACTTGCTTTACTACTAAACCTGCTTTGACCGGCAAAATAATCTTTCCGATTGGCCACTCCGGCTGTGAGTTGAAACCGACCAAAGGAGACGTCGCAGGGGCCAAGTCCTTGTCTTCTAACTTCATCTGTTTGAACGCGTCATAATACATGATTTCGACCGAACTCCCCTGGTCGATCAAGATTCTCTTGATATCAAAGTCCTTGACGCGAAGAGTGACTACTAAGGCATCGTTGTGCGACATCTGAACTCTTTCCAAGTCCCTGGATGAGAATGAAAGGATGTCCCTTTCTTCGGTCTTTCCCTTCTTCACAGCAGGCTGAACAAAAAGCACTTCCCTCATGTGCTCGGCCTTCTTGTTCATCCCCCTCAGCTCGCAAACCCTGGCCGGTTCAATGATTCCGTGGATGACGTTGATTACACCTTGCGGAGGCGCTTCTAGGGCGGCCAGGCCGTTTGGCTCGACTTGGTCTGCCGGTGTGGCCTTGATGCCCCCATCTATGTATTGGTCAAGATGCCCCGCCACTACTAACTCCTCTAAGTGTTGCTTTAGCGGCAGGCAGTCCTCTATTCGGTGCCCCCGTTCTTCATGAAAGGTACAGCGATATTTTGAATTGAAGCCTCGCTGGGCACTCCCCAACTTGGCCGGCCAACGGACGAAGGGTTCGCTTCGAATCTCACTCAGAATGCGGTAGATGGGGATTTTGAACACCGTGGTGATCCCAGTCCGTGCCTTCAATTTTCTTTTGGCATCCTCCACTGCATCACGGGGAGGGTATGCCCGGTCGTTTCGGCGCCCCTTGTTTCTGTCATCACGGTTTGGACCATAGCGCTGGTCTTTCGACTGGTTGTTTGGGCGGCTATCCTCCTGCCCAACCAAGTGAACTTTCCCCGCGACCCTCCTGTCCGCCGCGACCGGATTAACCTTCTCGATCGCGGAGGCGGTATCATCCTCCACACGAATGTGCTCATTGATCCGCTGCATCAATGACTCCATGGTTGTAGGTTGATGCATCATGAGTGAATCTCACAGCCTATGTCCGACTGGGAGACCCCGTTTGTACTGAGTGATCGCCAGATTGGTGGGGCAGTCGAGGATCTCATTGTAAGTTTCCCAGTATTTCGCATTGTATGCTTTCAACGAACACCCAGACTCCATCTTGACGCCCAGGAGATGGTCGACCTCCTTCGGCGTTCGTGTGTTGGTTTTGAGTCTGGTGACGAAGGCTTCCGCTAGCTGTTGCCACCCCTCTATACTCCCCTCCGGGAGCCTTTCAAACCACTTTAGACCCAGCTCTCCCAAGCTTGCTAGGAATACGAGACACATCAGAGCGTCATTGCGCCGGTGGCCAGCCATCACCTGCCGATAATGACTCACGTGCATGTACGGATCCATTTTGCCGTCGTACAAAGTGAACTTTGGCTGGTGCAATCCGGCGGGGAGTGGCATACTCTCAATCTCTGGAGATAGCGGTGTGGCTGTAAGTCGCGCCAGCTCTTTGTCCTCCAGTGCAGGGGCCATCACTTTGGGGGGTGGCATCGCCACTTCCTCACTGTAACGCACTGGAGCGCTTAACCTCTGCAATGCCGGCACTCTTCGAGCCTCCCGATAGCGTGCCCTCTCTTCCAATACATCCCTCAAGTCCCTGGAACGTGTGGAGAAATAGGATCTCGACGTCGGCGTCAGGCGTGAGGGGCAATATGTGTTGTCGCGAGAGAGGGACCTGCTCTCCCCCTGGTTAGAGCCCTCAACCCCATAGTTCCTGGTGATGGAGAGAGAGTGGGTCCTCCCCTGACGGCGACTGCACCAACGAGGGGACGGGGTGCGCTCACTGAGGTTGCCCTCTCCAGCAACACCCTTCCCTTTGATCTGGCGTTTCAGCAGCTCCATCTCTGCCGCCATCTTGCGAATGACGACGTCTTGGTCCTTGAGTTTGTGCTCCAGGCATGCGCCTGGGACTCCCCCCGGCGTCTGCGGCCCCCAGGACTCTGCGAGCGATCGGCACTCCTTCCGCGTTTGTCTCGCGCACTCCGCGAAGGAGTATCTAGGCCTGCCATGGCTGGAATATTCAGAGGACCTTCTCTCAAGCGGACGTACTCAGGGGTGACGCCATCGACGACGGACAGTGGGGCTTCGCCATTGTTGGCCATGGAAATGGTCGAAGGAGCTCTGAGAACAAGGGTTGAGTATCAAAAAACTTCCCACAGACGGCGCCAATTGTACGGGGCGAAATATCCTCTGCTTTCCGTACTCCTTGTACTCTGAGCTTCTCTTGACGGCGTCTACCTGGCAACACAGAAACGGTGAGCTACCCGGCGGTGGTGTGCCGGATAGACCCTCCGACGATCAAGTCAATTCACTTGAGGAAGAGGAAGAAGACGGAGAGAGAGAGTGTTCTCTTTTGGGAAGAAGTTGCATACCTCTTACGTTCGCCTTCCTCGCTATTTCAAGGTTGGCCATGCGGCCTCAAGATCATGCGCGCACTACCTCTGCTGTCCTTCCCTAGACAGGTGGCAGTACTCGCCTCTCACCACCTTACACGTGTAAAGGCTTAGACCTCCCAACAGTACATGCAGAACTGCCTAACGGTATTGAGGCGTATGTGGAGCAGATGTCCCTTCCTTCGTGTCATTGGCCCAGGTGGCACACCTGACCACAGTACCACGACCGGCCTATTTCCCAAGAAGAACTATTGCTACAGGCGCTCAACCGTGCTATGCCCCACCGGACTGCCCCTTCACAAAGGGGCGGCGGGGGGGACGCCCATGGACCGGGCTGGAGTTGACCGGTTCGTGGTGGCATACCGGTCGCGAGGCATGCCGACCCCCGTCCGCTCTGCCTTCATCTGAGGTTATATTGAATCTTCCCATCTCGGCTCACCGGTCAGAGACGCGTCTTCCCTCCCTTATCCACAATTCAGCCCGAGCTATCCGTAGCTCAGTCTCGCCTCTTAGCTGTGCGCACCGCCGAATATTTGCTACTCGCAGCTCGGCCAGGCTAGGCTTCCGCCGGGTCAACCGATCCTTGAGACCGAGCAAAACAGACCCGTCCAATCCTTGCTCGGCCGTACTAATGGCGCAAATCTCCCCTCTCATTACCCATATGGACAAACCTTCTTCAATCATCCCACTGGTCGACTCAGCGATGGTCGCCTTATCCCCGATTTCATCGCACTGTTTGCAAAGCTACCTATGTTGACACCATACCTGCAACCTGGTGGTTCGATTTGTATTCTGCCGACGGTGGAAGTATCTTTACTTCAGTCTCGGTTTGGTCATTTTGTGCTATGTTGGAGCTCTGGTTTATAACAGATTACTGGACTGAGTTGGTGCATTACGGTCTGCTCAAGGTTAATGCTCGGCTGTGGCTAAAATGAGTAAACTCAAGGTGGAGAGATAAAGTTGGTCAGCTTCGGTGCCAACGTTTCTATGTTGGTGAGGTTCTGGTGTTGTTGCTAACAGCTTTGGGTTTTCCGTGATTCAGCTACTGATGCAACCAGTCCGTGGGCTATATGTATGGAAGAAGATGGTGGTTGCGTACCGCCGGAGTTTCTGTTGACACCGGTGAAATAGCGTCTTTGGTACATAACCTGGGCTCTCTCTCTCTCATGTAGTGATTGAGGGGATGGATGGACAACAGCTGTGTTTTCTCCACTTGGGCCGTGTTGGTGCCTTGGAGAATGGGTTTGCTTTTGTTGAAAATCGTGAAAAGTGGGCTGTGGGGCCCATTTGTTGTTACTTAGTGCACCCTATTTCAACAAAATGGGCTGTGAGATTGAAATTTTTCTGCCGAAATAGGCCTAATGCACAGAGTTTTTGGACTAAGCATGTGCGTGCAGTCCGTGTATTGAATAGTATTGACCCTCAATTTCAATTAGTGGTTTAGGCGCCTGTTGTTAAATGTGATTTCAATTTTTACTAGAGTGAAATATCTTAGCCTCCGTTTGGGAAGTGGGTTAGCTTTTTGACTTTTTAATTTTTTTGGCTATTTTAGCCTGGACTAAAAAACTTAGTTTGGGAAGAGATTTTTGGCTTTTTGACTTTTTTGACTTTTTTTGTGAGAGAAGAGTGTAATGATTATGGGTTGGATGTGATGTTTTATTTTTTGTGGCTAAAATAGCCTATTTTGTCTTTTGTGGCTAAAATAGCCAAAAAAGCCCGGAAAAGCCCTTCCCAAACGGACCCTTAAGGTCATGAGGCCCACGCATCTGGGTGGTGTTATTGCATGTAGAGCTTTGTTTCAGTGAAATGATGATGATGGAAAGCCTCCATTGCCCCGACGCATGGTGGAAGATTATGGTGAATGCTGCTTCATTTCTTGAGGCCAAAGTAAAGAGCTTGGTGAGAGCAACATTTTGATCGGTGGAGATCAAAATCCGACAAAATCGAAAATTTAGATTTTTGCATGTTTCCTTGTCAAACTTGAGGTAGAGATTTTCTTTGAGTTATATATATGTTTTTGCAAGATCTACATGATTTTTGAAATCATTCTTTGATTAGTTTTGAAAATTAATTGTTGATTCAATAAGATGAGTGATTTTGAAAGTAGGTTTACTTTCTTTTCCCTTTAAAAATAGAAATTGAGGGTTTTTGAACTATGTTGATGAAAGAAAGATGTTTTTGGTGAGATCTTCTCAAATATTTGAAGATGAATGGTTTTTGGTGAGAAAGCCTAGAAATTTGGGATTTTTAAGAAGGAAGTTGAAAATCTTTAGAATATGTTGTTATATTTATTTTGTGTGTCAAAATAAATGATGTTTGAAAATTGGTTATTTATGACATATAAATGATGGTTTTCTATGGAATAAGAGAATTGTTGAAGTTTTAGAAATTGTTGTTTAAAAGTGTTGATATAGTCTTGAAATGACTAAGTTGTTGGAAATGTTTGAAATATGGGAATTATGTTATCTCTTGGATGAATTGAAATGAAAGTATTTATTCATCCTGTGAAATTGCATTGGCATATCAATTCATTTGATAATGAAGAGCTTTGAAATTTGATTTGAAAACTTTGCATTTAGAAAAGAATGTTGATAAATAAGTTTTCATGAAATGGTTTTGGGGTAAATACGGTGATAAGTCTTGACAGGTGGTGTGGAGGATAGGTGTCGAGCCTTCTAGTTAATACTGGTAAAAATGACAAACTGGTAGTACTTGTATAGTCTTCTTGCAGACACCAGCCTAAGGATTGAAAAGTGGTGTAGATGATAGGTGTCGAGCCTTCTGGATGATACTAGTAAAAATGACAAATTGGTAGTACATGTATAGTCTACTTGCAGACACTAACCTAGGGATTACTGGAGTTGTATTTACTGCTCCTTGAATTAAATTGATAAATTTTGAACAGTTGAAGTTGCACAACATCATTAAGCATGGTGGTTTTCAAAAGATGAAGATGTGTTTTATTTTCAAAAAGGCATGGCATGGCATGCCATGCCATGTGCATTCATCTCTTGAGACTTGTATAAAATGTATATACTTTGCAAAGGATTTCCTACTGGGCTTTATGTTCACCCTACGGGATTTTTGTGCAGGGAAAGACGTGGTGAATCCACCTAACTGAGGGCGTGGAAATGTGTGTGTTGAGAGCATAAGGTTCTCATTTGCTGTGATTCTATTTGTAAAACAAGGGCTTTGTATGTGTGGGTTTGAATAACTGTTTTTGTGTAACCAGGCTTAAGCCTTGGAAACTTGTAACCCTTGGGGGTATTGATTTGTTTCTTTACTTGATGTCGGATTAAAATATAATCGCATGAGAAAACTATTTACATTATGGAATGCAAATGAAGGATTGTATAATTGGTTTTTCCTTTAAAGAGACCATGATTATTGCATTATCATTTGAGCTAGAAAATTGGGGCATTACAGATACTTTTAGTTGAAGCATTGAAAGAAAAAATTGCACGAGAGCACTTATCAAGCCAAATAAATTGAGAAATCTAATCGGAATGTGTTTCTACTTTATCCAAACAATTTCTCCAGTGGCAAAGACCACAC